AGGACCCTAAGTGCCTCTAAAATGTGCACAGCCTAGAGATGTGAATGATGGACATCAAACTATTAAAACGTCTCATTTGAGATTCGAACCAGGGTCATTCTCACTATAGTCCTGAATGCCCCCGAGCGAGATACAATCCTACAGGCACAGACGTCTGTGGTGTAGCGGTTACGCGTTTCGCCCTCACCCACACAATAAGAGTTTTATTCCTGTGTGGGAAGAATTATTACCGAGTTTCTCCGTCTTTCTGCTGGGAGGCTGTACCTCTTTCAGCCCGGGTTATCCCTCGCAGGCTAGGTCGAGGCTCGCTTCCTAAATTGTGTCGATGGAGGCATACAAACCAACTGCGTAATATTATATCTGAAAATTAAATTTGATCGTAAACTTTCAGCAGTGAGCACAGCAAAATATTAGTGATAATAATCTGTAGATAATATGAATACCTTTGGCAGATTCTACTTTCATACTCTCATTTTGTCGTTTCTTTTACCTTTCATGGGTTTTGCCTTCTCCTGGCTCTAATTGACATAGCATCTATTTGTCGATGTGCTTCTGTCTTCTTACAATCCGAAGAAAAAAGAGAATCGGAAACATATGTCGCACGGACAAACCATCAGTGTGTTCTATCATGTGTCTTCCTGTGCTATCTGCACGTGTAATAACATTGTGCAGAATTCGTTTTATCTTTGTGCGAAATGGAACACTCGGAAATTACCCCAAGTACATGAATCATACATTTTTGTCCTATGCCTGAAGAATAAAGTCCAAGCTTATATCCTGCCTTGCTATTAAAACCTTTTCGAAGTTTGATTTCAAAAGATGATTACATTTGCAAACAACAGACCTCTAAAATTGGATTTCGTGGTGTAGCACTCAAAAATGTACACACAAAAGATTCCTTTTTGAATAAGTATGTGGCTTTAGAGAATCGGGGTTATAATTCTGAGCATTCCGGTAGTCTTTCAATGGCTCACCATTGTCAATGATAGCAGGAAGACATAATAAACGAGTATGTGAATTGTCACTTTATCATTATATTTTTGCACTTGTTCAAAATCCTGCTTTTGACTTGATTTGCACTCGACCTGAAAGTTTTGAAATAATTTTAACGTCGATAACTTTGTTATTTATTTGTCCGATTTTTAAGTGTTAAAAAGGTTAAAATCATTGTTTTACCACCCTTTCTACTAAGAAAAATCTACGTTTAAACTCTTTGAAATGTCTGCTGTGGTACGTAGATTACTTAGTGCTTTCTTGGGGGATCGAAAATGGTTTGAGGTAATGTTTTGGCAAGCGCCAAATAAATCGTTTTCTAGCGTTCGAGTAAACAGATCCACGCTAACACATGATTTGGTTTTATTTTCTGTTTTCATTTCCAACACAATAAAACGGTCGGTGACCTGAAGAGGGCTGTAAAGTTTTGTTTCTTTGTTCCTCTCTTAAATGTGTCTTTAAAGCCCATGTAGACAAAATTTAGATCCCATAAGAGACAGGCTTTGACCGTACCTGTCAGAGACTACCCAAGCTGAGAGGGATGCAGCACATAGGCAGAAAAACCCAGATACTCGATAAAAATTATAATCCCCACACAGGACCCAAACTTAGGTCTCTCGGGTGCAAAGGCGAAAAGCCTAAATTCTACAACACAGACGCTAGTATAAAGTCGTGTTTAAAACAACTCACTTCGACTGTTTGGTTCGGCTTTTGGGGTTGTTGGGGTTTTTTAACTAATTGTCCTCAGAGATAACCTACTAATAAAATCAAACCAGTGACCGACACTGCCAACCTTGAGGCATGACGCCCGTGTCACAAACGAGGACTTCCCTTGTTTGTACGCCGGTGTGTCCCCCAATGTTCCTCCCGACGGCATGACACGTTAAGTAAGCTGACCACTTACTGCGATAACAGATGGACGCATGGAAGGACAAGGTCGTTGGCGTATCACATAAATAAGGTCTACGGCTGTATACTGGCGATGATTAGCCACAAGGTAAGAAACACAACGACTGTCTATATTGCTATTTCATTTACGTGTACTCTTATTTACTAATATTTGCACCTATTATCATATCTTGTACGTCCTTACCTGGTCTGTAGTGTAACGGCCAGACACTTTGCTGTCGTAAGCAGGGCACCAGAGTTCGAGTTTCGTTAGGGGAGGATTTTTATCGAGTATTCGGTCTTCCTGCTGGGACAGTGTATGCTTCTCAGTAGTTGAGGTTAACCCTGACCCTGACAGGCAGGGTCGAAAACTTCCTCATAAATGATCTTTTTGATTCATTGAAGTTGATTTTTTGTTTGTTTGTTTGCTGTTGTTGTCTTTTTAGCGTCCTCGTGCGAGTGCTCTCTGGGTGAGACTTGAAGTTCTCCACGCCTACAATTCCACGCACATTGTTATATTATTATTTTGCAAACACGTATCCATAATTTTTTGAGTTTCTTTTTGCTTTCTTATTTGTTTGTTTCCGATGGCAATTTTCCATTTTATTCATAACGATCATGAACCTTTCATAATGGAATTGTATTTGATGGCGTCTGTTGTGTAAGGCGCTTCGCCGACGCACTCAGGCGACCCGAGTTTAATTATCGAGTAAGTAGAATCTTTATCGAATATTTCAGTGTTTCTGTTAGAATGTTGTATCCATCTCAGCCCAGGTTGGCCTTTACAGGGAGGGTTAAAGGCCGCTTTGTAAATTATCTAAATTTTGTCGTGGATGCGTAAAAACCCCTAGATTTTAAAAGAATATAGAATTTAAGCAATGCAATCTTAACGGTTTATTTGAAAGCATTTACGCGAAGAGGAAATTAGGTTTTTATCATATACAGTTTGATGCTGACGATATTCAGTTTTGAGATCCACTGCCATCAAGGACCTTACAATAAAACCTCATTGGTTGTCATACTAAAAATGATCCGTGTCCAAATCCTTCTGCCAAAGATTAGAAATCCCGAAGTATTGCATCCTCTTCAAGGGCACTGATTGAACTACCAATTTTGAAGAAACACAAGCTGCCATTCAGAAAACAAAATAAGTAATTGCTACAGGACTTGATAACAGCCCATTTGAAGTGCTTGTCAAATTAGACGAATCAGGCACTGAAATAGTACAAAGCTCTTAAATTCTACCTTTGAATTTGATAAGATTTCAGAAGATAGATAGATAGATGGGTTGATAAAAAAAAGGCTAATGGGCTGAGAGACGGATAAAGCAAAACAAAATTAAACTATCAAAGGAAAGAAGGAGGGAACCATTATCAACGCTCAGTCTCGTTCATTCTCTACATTTCTGTACACGCCCCCCTCCCCCCCCCTTTCTTCTTTGTTTTTCACCACGCCCAAATGTCCGTCTACCGACAGTCATGATGACGTCACTGTGGTCAGTGCCTCTGCTCTCCCTGCTGGTCAGCTCTGCTCTGGGCGCCACGCAGGTGCGCATCTCTGAGCACTGGGACGGCGGCTTCAAAGGGGAGCCGTGTGTGAAGATCACGAAAGAACTACACACCTGGAAGGCCCACTTACAGTTTAGCAGTGACGTCAACACAGTAGAGGTGAGATTTCTAACAGTTATCATCGATGTCGTTATATCGCAATCGCCGGCGTCTTTGGTGTAGCGAGTGAGCACTTCGCCGTAGTGCTCAGAAAAAAAATAGAGCTATGGGTTCCATTTCCCGTGTAGTGACGCCAACACAGTTACAGTAGAGTTGAGTAGAAATCATCGATGTCATCATCGTAATCACTTGCGTCTACGCTGTAGCAATATTCCACGTCGCCGTCGTATACACAGAAGATATAGGTTCATTTTCCTTGTCGGGAAACAGCAATACAGTAGAGGTCAAACGAAAGCCATAGAACAAAGATACAAACAACATGCATTCCAAAATTAAAGAAGTAATTAGGGGGAAAGGAAGCTCGGACAAAACCAAAAAGATCGACAGACCACCGACCACATTAAAGAACTTTTAAGGGTAACAGGGGGGGAGGGCGGGGGTTGCAATAAAGAAAGAAATGGATGGACCCCAAATTCTGAAGAAACAAGAACTGCCATTCAAAGAATAAAATAAAGAAATATCACAGGGTCTATAATAGCCCATTTTAAAAGATTGTCAAATAGATGACCCAGGCACTGAAATAACATAGAGCTAGTGAATTGTGCCAATGACTCTAGTAAAAGTTTGTCTTTACGGTTAATTCACCAGGTACTCAGAGTGTGAGTTGCAAGACTGAGAGCTAGTCGCAGGAACTTCATTTTCATCAACAAACAATAATACTGGTGCGAGTACTAACGATTGAATTTTTAAAGTTTAAGACCAGAGATATCTAAGGAATTATTTGACTGATCTCTATACCTGGAAGCAATTCTTAGAAGTGTAAAATCCTAGTCTCAAAGTTCACGGAGAAAATATTAGTAGTATCACACATTGTGCCAGTAAGACAATTGTTTTATTTTATATTGCAGTTTCAAAAAAATGAAAAATGTAATTGCTTAGAGATGCTGTTGTTACGTAAAGTGAACGTAAAGAGTTATTTTCAAATAAAGAAAACAAAATGCATGGTAAAATCTAAAATAGCATTAAGGCTTCTCTGTGTTCTCATAGACAAAGGTGAAAAGATCAAACAAGCTCAACAGTTAAAATTTTAATATCTAAGTTCTAAGGTATTTAAATTATATCTAACGTTCCACAGAAATGAAACGAAGAATAGAAATCGATAAAACAGTTTCAACAAAATGAATCCATTCCAGAAAAATAGAAGCATTTCAATGACAACCAAAATATGAGGTTTTAAGGTCTATGAATAGTGAAACCTGCTATACAGAGTGGATGCTGACAGCAATTACCGAAGCTAGTGAAACTAAACTAAAAGTAATAGAAATGTGGTTTCTTAGCAGACTGCTCAGAATTTCGTTGAAGGAATAGAAATGCTTGTAAAAAGGTAGTTCTGAAAGAAGTACGCGTGGGCCGCTCTCTAATTAATCACAATTTGGGAAACTTGAATCAATACAAAAGCCTTGAACATCTTGCTCACTCTGGAAAAATGCAAGGCAGACAAAGGCAGGGGTAGATCAAGAGAATCTTACGTAGAAAACCTTAAGAGTTAGGTTACAGGAAAAGACAAGAAAAACAAAAGGTTGGGGATTTTGGGGTTTTTAAAGAGAAAAAATAAACGGCGGACCGTGATCGCTTATGTCTGTTTCAGATCTGACATGCTATGATATTATTCTTTGTTCGCCGGGATGTTGTACAAAACTAATTCTAGTTTTTTGTTTTGTTTTTGTAAGGTGTTTTACGGCGCTCACAACTGCATAAGGTCATATGAGCGCGCGGGACACATTTTGAATTTTGCCCAGGTGGCGCCGAAGCCTACTCTTATCGATTTTAGACCATCAATGGATCTTTAACGGACCCAACTTGCACACGGGCCCTCCGAGGTTTTTCGCCCTTGTCCGAGAAGGCTAGGTGTAGATCTTTCCTACCAGAAGATCAGGGGTGTGGCTGAAAGACAGCAGTAAGAACAAGCCAAGGAGTAGCAGTAGAAAAGCTGCAGAAAGAGTCATGAGCCAATAGGAGGGGGGCAAAGGATATGAGAGAGTGGGGGCTGAATGGGAAGACGAAAGCAGACGACAGAACATTGCTAGAGAGCAGGAAAGGAGGTGAAAGGAGACAGATATAAAGATGAAAATTTTTCGGTCACTAACCCGGATTCGAACCCGGGACCTTTGAATGACAGGCCAACACCTTAACCTCTAGGCCATGAGAGCCCCCAATTCTAGTTTGGCCCTGACAGGCAAGGTCAAAAGGTCAAAGCACCCCTCTACCTTAAACGACCTAAATTGTATAGATGGGGAATGACAATATTTTCATTACCGTTTACTATCACTATCGCACGTTGTAGCATATAATATTGACTAATCTTTACCCTGCTTTTCGTCACTCCCGCGTTTCGAACGAAGGGAAAGAACGCAACAGTTACACATTGAGTCTTTTTTTCAAAAAGTTGCGTCCCCTGCAATTTGTTTTGACTTGACGGCGCTGTTTTCTGTCTGTTCTGTGTTTGCGGGGTAAAGTCTATTAGTGTTTTTATTCCCCCCCCCCCCATCCGCCATTTTAGTAAATTTATAAAGATTTATTGTTTTCCAAGGTAAGTTCTCAAAAAGAAAAGATTCTGAAGTTTTGAAGATTAATACATCCTGTTGAAATCAGACGTTGATCCTGAAACTATTACTCTTGCTGTGACAACCTGAACGTATTCACATCAGAGGAAATCGCAAAAAGATTGCACCTTGAAGCCCCAACATAAGACGTAATATTCCTTTTTCTCAAATCATATTTACACACACACACACGCACACACACACACACACACACACACACACACACACACACACACACACACACACACACACACACACACACACACACACAAACACACACGCGCGTGCGTGCGCGCGAGCGCACACACATACACACACACACTCAAACATACACTCTTTCTTTCACACACACACACACACACACACACACACCCACACACACACACACACACACACATACACACACACACACACACATAGACACACACAAACACACGGTCATCCACAAAGATCTTCGGTGCCTGAAGTGAGCGCGATTACCAAGTTACATGTATAGAGATTTATTATTATTATTATCATTATTTTAGATCTAGTTTTATCATTTATCATTATTATTATTATTATTATTATTATTATTATTATCATTATTATTATTATTATTATTATTATTATTATTATTATTAATATAGTTATAGTTATTATTATTATAGTTATTATTATTATAGTTATTATTATTATTATGGTTCTTTTTGTTACATGAGAGTAACAAACAAACACTAAAGAGATGGAGGAGATAGATGTTTGATAGGAAAGAAGGAACAAACCACACCAGAGCACCCTCCAAGCACCCGCATAGGGTATTATATCAAGTATCTCCGTCAGTCTGCTGGAACGTTATATCACTTATATCCTTCTGAGTCAGACCAGAAGCAGCCCGCCTCCACAAAATTGACACAAATAACTTGGATAGGGTGGGAGGGGGGGGGGTAAAACATTTACAACTGTTACAATTCCCCCATACCTTTCTTGCCACGCCGGCATCTGTAGTATAGCAGTTAGGCCCTTACTGCATCATAAAGAACTATAGTAGTATGTGAGTTCGATTCCCGGCAGGTGATAAGGTTTTGTATCAGGTATCTCCTGCAACCCGATATGGGTTTGTCAGACAACAAGGCCCAAACCTGCCTCCTCAACGATCTAAATTGTGTTGATGTGGACGTAAATAAAACGTCGTTTGTCTATTGTCTTGTCTGTATTCTTAGACGTTGTATCCATCTCAGACCCGGAAGGATCGAAACAGCCCAACTCTTAAGATTTAACGTCGCTAGGTGCATAAAATATTAATTATTTTACCATTCTTTGCCTCCCAGTTTTTTCTTTGTTTTGTTTTAGATGTTTTGGGGGGTTTTTTTTCTTCATTTTTGCTTCTTTCTTAGGCATGGAACGCCAGCCCAAGCAAGGTGTCCAGTCGAGAGTTTATCTTGACCAACGACTGGCAGACTCTGCACAATGGCGACCAGCTGTGCTTTATCTTCATCGCTAGGACCAACGGCAACTCTGTGCCCAACTCTTTCATCTACCTTGAGGGCATGGACGGCCGTAAGCCTTTGTCCTTATTTCTTGCCAGATTTGCTCCCTCTTGCCCCCCTCTCTCTCTCTCTCTCTCTCTCTCTCTCTCTCTCTCTCTCTCTCTCTCTCTCTCTCTCTCTCTTCTCTCTCTCTCTTTCTCTCTCTTTTTGCACACATACACACACACAACAACAAAAAAACACACACACACACACGCACACACACACACACAAATCCTCTTCATGTATCTATCTGGCATTCTCTCTGCCTCTTTCTATTAATAATAATGTCGATGTTCTTCTCTTTTCACAGATTATTTTTTCACGTCTGTTCGAACTAAGTGGGCCGTTGGTGGGCGCTCTGCTTTTCTATCAAACATCTCTAGTCTTTATCTCTCCTCTTTCTATCCTTCGTTTGTATCTAGTACATTTCAGATATTCAGCACTTTTTAATGTTTCATGTTCCCTAAAACCCGTACTAAATCTCAACTAAAAAAGAGGTTCTCTGATTTACCATTATGTGACCGTAAACATTGTTTGACCAAGTACTAAATCTAAGCTAAAAAGAAAGTTATTTGATTCATATTTTTGTGACCGTTAAGGTTAATTGAAAAATTACTCAATCTAAACAAAACAGGAGGTTCTTTGATTCACCTTTATGTGACCGTAAATCGAAACAAATAGGAGGTTCTTTGATTCACCGTTATGTGACCCTAAATATTGTTTCCCTAATTACTAAATCGAAACAAAATTGGAGGTTCTTTGATTCACCGTTATGTGACCCTAAATATTGTTTCCCTAATTACTAAATCGAAACAAAATAGGAGGTTCTTTGATTCACCTTTATGTGACCCTAAATATTGTTTCCCTAATTACTAAATCTAAACAAAATTGGAGGTTCTTTGATTCGCCTTTATGTGACCGTAACCATTGTTTCACTAATTACTAATTCTAGACTAAAAACTGGTTCTCTTGTCTCTGAGTCACCTTTATGTGACCGCACACATTTCGTGTTCCCCTCACAGCTGCCAATGTGGGAGGAGGAGGAGGAACACCCTCAGGAGGAGGTGGGAACACAGGAGGAGGGAACACCGGAGGCGGCGGTGAGTATGACGTCCGTAATCGTCTTTGCCTTACTCGAACTGTTCCTCTATTTTTCGTTAAGCATGACAGTTTAGAAAATTAACATCTAGACATATTATTATGAGCTTCAATTTGCTACCATAGAATTACAACGTGCTGTCTACTCAGTACCTAGTTTTGAGAAATTAGACCTTACAAATTTAGAGTTTTACAACATGTCACGATTTTAAGAATACAATTCTTTGAATATCCTGAGAACGACTCCGAATAATCTTACGATTTTGAAAGAGCAAATAGAACATCTGGCCTCGTGATCTTATTAACTCAAATGGGCCAAAATTGTTAGATAGCACTCAGCAATTTTAAGGTAGTGATGTGAACAACCTTCATTCGCCTGTGCGTGAATCACAACTCAAATCTTTGACAACTAGATCTAGAACAGGAGCAAACATTCTCTTCTTCTACTGTTCATCAATCGAATAACTTAAACAACTAGTTTAAAAAATTCACTGCACTGTATTATCGGTGACTAAAATATTTTATGAAAAATCTCTGCAATAGGACAACTGGAAAATGCGTGTCCTTTCACTTAACCAAAACCTTCGTCAACCGGATTTAAATTAAAACACCTTTCTCTAATTATTCGTTAACCGTAATTCACACCCCAAAACTTGACACACAGTCAGTGCCCATTATGGGTGATTGGAGGATGCTGCGGTGTGTAAGCTCCTTCTTATCTATCAAACATCCATCGTCCTTCTCGCTCCTCTTTCTTTTCTTTGTGTTCGTATGTCACCATTAAGTAACACCTCTAAACTTCGCACTTGTACGACCAATTTGCATTGGAAGTTTAAAGAAATAACTTTAATAAAACTCACCATCACCATTACCGCCTTTCTCGCCCTGGATCAGGGACAAATTTCCCTCCTGGACAATAAAGTATTTTCTTAATTTGTCATATCTTATCTTAATCATATCGTATCTTATAGACCACAAACAAAAATATTCCACCGTTTTCTATCCTGGGCTGGCCTCTTGGTGTTATCCCATGTCTTCCAGCTTTTTTGTACATTAATTCCTGTGATCTTTCTCTTGGTTCCGGGTGGTCTTCCCCTTGATCTTTAAACCTGTGGGTTCCAGTTCAACACTTTATTTTGATAAAGCTCTTATTTAAACTTAAAGTAAAGACAAAGCACCTCTGCCCCTAGACGGTATCGCCCAGGGCAAGTCCATCCTGTTCTTCGGAGCCTGTATGACC